TTGTATAACACTCAGCACTAAAACACAGCAAGGCCACGTTCACACTGTAGGCAAATGCGACCCAAACCCAATTTTTTTGGCCCCTATGCAACCCAWATTGAATTTTGTTCCTGACAGTCTGAACATCACAAATCCGACTTAGGCCTTTTTCAGTATAYGGTACTGAATCTGATACATACTTCTGATACATACTGTATCTAATGTTTTTTTTCCAAAGTGACTTAAGTCTGAATGCTCTCATTTCATCAGACTTTTACTTCAGTGAGGTGAGGGTGAGCRGATTGATCCAAGTATTATTAATTACTGTATACTGTAAGATGATTTCGTGTTCATTAACTGAAATCGAGATGAAACCACATAAATGTTGAAGGTGTTGCTACGGTGTCTCTCAGGTGTCAAAAACCTTTGATAATTCCAACCGCGATGTCTACCAGCAGCTTCAGGGCTAGTGATGTTTCAAGTGGTAAGACTATGAGCTTTAATAAGTAAAATTATCCCAGCTACAATGACAGACAACAAATATTACATTTATAGTATTACAACTAAAACCATTTTTGACGCCGCCACCGCAGTTTGTCCTTCATGAGCCTTCGTAGACAAGATGGCGGCTGCCTGTAGTGGCGACCCACGACCATGGAGATATAAACAGCTTTTTATAAGGTGAAAATAATAAAACAAGGTCTTTGTCTGCAATGATTAGACATGTTTTTTTATTATTGTCATTAATGATTATCTCAATTTCGGCTAAAAGAATTGACAAAATCCTACACACTGTGCCTTTAAGTGTCTGGTACGCCCCCTACAGGCCTACGGCTGAATCGCAGACCGTCTGAACAGCAATGCTCATCTAATGTCTTTATTAACGCTTTATTATGTGTTGTCRAGGTGTTTCGGGCGTGTACCTAAAACTATTTTAATCAGGACATTACAATAGTCAAATAAYAGTAWATAAAAGTCAAGCYTTAAAAAGGAAACTAAGACAAATGGTGTGGTKCTTTAAATCAGTATCTAACTAATAARTTCCTTCAATACTAHCCTCGAGTCATACTGTTTAAATCTTGTTTTACACGTCTCCAACCACAGAACAGAAGTATAKTTGCTTYGTCGTYATTCTTTTGTTACATGCCCATGATGACTGTGAATCCACAGAAACATATGAGAGTAAAATCGGTCGCAGACCATATCAATACTAAAGTTACTGGATCGATACTTTATTTTTTGGATGTTGCTTCGTCCAAAAATAAAATGCTGCACCAGAGCATCCCGGTCAGAGGGAGGTTCAAATGTAAACACTGAGCTAAACAAGCACGTCAGGTAATTATTTAATCGTCTCTGATTGTACAACAACTTCAGAATCAATACATCCTAACATGTAGCATCAGCGTCTACCTCTGTAAACAGTGTGACATCACGTTATATTCTGCGCATCTGTGCCATGGAGAGTTCACAGGAATCTGAACAAACCTATAGTGTCATTTAGCTGTTTTTCTGTGTTGCATTAAACACTTAATACACACATTTCCTTTAGAGCAGAGCTAAAACACTGCACTGCACAGATGTTTGCAGTAATTGCATTAGATTTGACTTCTAAGAAGGTAGAYTTTGTTGTAATCTATCCAAACCAAAACTTGCTTTTTTGACGTGATGTCCAGTACTTTATGTCTTGCACTCACTGTTCCCTACAATTTTCCAGATTCTGGACCTCCTGTCACCTTTTCTCTCTCCTCTTCCTGCATTCTCTTCCCCCACTGACCTTTCCACCTGTTTCTGCACTKGTCCTGTCATTCTTGATTGTGTTATTTCCCCTTCAGAATTTCTATCCACTTTACTTCCAGCATGCCTTTTTATTTCAAACCTTCCTCGTGTAGTATTGGAACACTTTATATGAAACATTATGAGGGTAACAAAAAAATAACTAAAGCTGTCAGGAGTTAAATTCAGACGCGCAGCCAGACATTCACATTTATTTCAAAACTCTCATCCCACGAAGTGAGAGAAAAAGAAGGAGAGGGTGACTAGGTGGAAATGTCAAACGGTCCACAGGAAAACTAATCAAAGAAAGCTGGCCTTCAGCAGAACCACAGCCACAGGCCTGCTCTGTGTAAAACCCTCTTCTGTATCAACAGAGGGCACATTGTAAAGGGAGGTCAAATGTGGAGGAGCCGTGTTGTGTAAAACTCTGCTGTGTAGTTTCAGAATGAAAATGGAAAAGTGGAAAATGCCAGAAGGGATTGTTGTATGCCCCAAGCAAATGAAGAGGGTCCGTTCCTGGATGACTGAGAAAACGCTAAGGCATTTGTATTGAACCATAACATTTATATTATTCTGGATACATATTCCTCCGAGATATGTTTTGTTTGAAGCTTTTTTTTCTTCCTTCCATGAATGCTATTTTTACATAATTTTGAGTTTAAGTGTAGTCCACTAGTGAAAACCTATTAGGTGAATGCCAATCTTACGTAGAAATTTCTTAAGATTTATTTATTTACTTTTTTTTATTTTAAAACAAAATATTTAATCTTAGTTTTTTAGCTTTCTCCCAACATTACCAGCATTAAAACAGCCACAGTTTAGTAGATTATCTAACACAGCCACATTTCCATCTTACCCACCAAAAAATAAATAAATACATATATATATATATACAATATATACGTATGTATATAGTATATATTGGAGGTAGGCAGGCTCCCCATAGGTCCTTGAAACCCTTGAAAGTTTGTGAATTAGAAAAAAAATGATTTCAAGATCCTGGAAAGTTTGTGAAAATGGCCAAAAATTACACTGGTCCTTGAAAGTCCTTGAATGTTTTTTGGGGATTGAAGTTCTCTATTCACACGACTGATTTTCATCATCTGTAAAAATATAAATAATAAAAAAACGTAAATTTCTTGCAGTGGATAACTCAGGATTACGGTAACTGACGTGGCTTTCAACAACTAACGTGAGCCATAGTCATAGTTTTATCCAATCAGAGCAGAGTAGGGCAGGTCGTTCTTTCTGAGCCCAGGTGAAAGCACCACAGCTCCTCCTGTCCTCACYGAACGWCTGAACATGYTCACATCCCCTCCTCCCAAACTGAGCTGCTCAACCTCCCAGGACATAATTACATGTCCATGTATTGTAGATATGAATGTAGGGTAAACATTTAATTCACTTTCTTTCATTGATTCCCAGTTTTTCATTGAATTTACACGATATTAAAAYTGTTTATTGGTAACATTCTGTGGGAGTAGTAGGTAATTGCTGTTGTGGTTCTTGAATTTGAGGAAATTGGTGCTAGAAAATCCTTGAAAGGTCCTTGAATTTGATGTTGACCAAGGTGTGGGAACCCTGGGTAGGAGGTAGACCGTTCACAGAATCAGTATGTTTAGTCTGTTTAAAGACACTGTCTGCCAGGAAGGATTTTAATATAAGTCTCTACTACAACACGTTGCACAAAGCTAAATATGAGAAATTTACTGAAGCTGCAAGTACATGAACAATTTTTTACCAGAATCATGCAGGAGTCTGAACTCAAGACATCCTGTGTAGTTGTACTTCAACTTGCCTTTTCACAATTAATAAACAATTTGTTAAGTCACTGCACTGGATGCTGGTTAAATAAATATGTACATGTACAAACATTTTTTTTTTAAATGGCAGCTTTATTACATTTGGGTAAGTGTGCAGTGTTATTTGGCCCACTGGTGTCAACAAAATATTGTAGCCCCTTCCGTCATTTAAATTGTCCATTACTGATCTAACAGACTTACAAATAACAGTTTTGCTACAACAAATTCAAGCATGTATATGTTTAAACCCTAAAGAACCTAAATGTTTGCCATATTCAGCCACRTTGTTTCAGGCATGTAAGCATGGAATAAAGGTAAACATCTTTTGAGAACATGCAGAGAATTTGCAAGTTTGTTTATTCTTTGAAGGGCCTACATTCTTAAGGATTCAGTCGGCTTTGAAGATGTCAAACCAGCCGTTTGAGCGTAATTATCCATCAGTGAGTTTGCGGATCTTTCCACAGTATTTACATCAGAAACATTTGGCCTAATATTTGGAGGCAGTAAGGGTGAACTTTAAAATGCAGTGCCTCTGCTATCCTAAGGCGGTACACTCACCCTTTTTCTTTTCCTTTGCCTTGTCTCACACCATTTCTCTCCGCTTCATTCTCCTGCTCCGCGTCTCTCTTCAGCCGATAATGAATGCAGGAATTCTCCTTCATATGTGTTTAGCAGTGCCTGGAGACTGGTGTCGGCCCGTGGTCCCTTAATTATTAATTTGATGTTATGCGCTGGCCGTTTGATCATCCTTGTATATCTGTATGATTCAGATTTAACAAGTTCCCCAGGAGACGCTGTTTTCTCTCTTTTCCTCGTTTTTCTATCAAGCTTGTTGTTTCAAACCTGCTGCAACCCAGGCGTGAGCAAAACTTTTGACGGACTGTCTCGGTTAGAAATGAGCGCATGCATTTATATTTTTTTATTTTTTTATTTTTGGTTTGTGTGGCGTAGCTTTTAAATTGTTGCTTCATTAGTTCTGCACTGTGTCGAGCAGGAGAAGTGCAGTTTATAACTGTCAAATCGAAAAAAAAAAAAAAACTAACTTTGACTAGCTCATAATTTTAATGATCTTTTTTTTTTTTCTTCCAAAGAGTGGTGTTGTCCTCGTTCATAGTCTGTTTCCTGATGGAGTGATGGATTTAAGCTTCTAATCATCAGCAGCCTGGCACAACATTAAGATATAAATTCACAGAACTATAGAGCGTTGCAGTTTGGGGAGTTGATACGGCTGTGAGATGCGCAGGGAAAATGAGATGCAGACTGAGATAAGATTTGTGTGTCTGTGTGGATGCATGAACATGCACTCAGTTGGCATTTGGAAGTGAGCCCCCTTTCAGAAATCTAATTAAAGTTAACTGAGTTAGGACCAGCGGTGCAGCATTTGTCTTATGGCCTGTTCTAATGTTTTTGTTCTACTCTCGCTCTCTGTTTGTCTTGCCTGCCCAGCACCACCACGGTTCACTAAAGTTCCCGTTGACCAGATCGGTGTCTCGGGGGGCGTGGTCACCTTCGTCTGCCAGGCGACGGGCGACCCCAAGCCGAGAGTTAGCTGGAGCAAGAAAGGGAAAAAGGTGAACTCTCARCGTATAGAGGTAAGTCTGTGATGGGTTGACTTGTATTGTAATTGTTGTGTTGAACAAAACTGGGTTGTAAAACACAACCATACCTGATCTCATCAGAATCAGAATACTTTATTACTTACTATTATTTATGCTGTTTTTTTTCCAAGATGGCAAGTAGGCAGCCTGTTACTGCAGCTCCCAGCTTTTTTCCTACTTTTCTGTGTTTTTCTTATGTTAAATTTTTTATTTTAAACTTTTATTTTTAACAAACACGCCATGAATCTTATCTTATCTTAATCCCTGAGGGAAATTACAGGTATTATAGCTGCAATGTATTGTAATATTCAACTATTTTTATGTCATTTATTCCAAATTAAATAAAAATTGTCCCCTTTTACCAGCCGGATGTGGATGTGTCTGGCACCGTGTATGTAGCATGTAGCATCTTTATGAACTAGACTTCAAAATAAGAGCGTCAAATAGAAAAAGAATTTTTAATAACAATTACAAAAACTYACTACAAACTTCAAATGGTGTTTATGGAAGTATCATGTTAGACAGAGCTATAATTCTGGTTTGGATTGGTTGATTTGCCCCAAATGATCGCACCTAGCTTCAGTTTAAACCAACAGAAAACTAAGAACAGGTTTGTGTCAGTCCCACCAGTTTTCAGCTGGAAGATGATGAAGACGTGTGACACGGGCTAAGTGGCAGTTGTCCTAGCGGTAAATGCTAGCTTCCACTATTTTTTTTTTTTTACCAGTTTAGCGTTAGCAAAGCTAAGATTCTTAGTTAACAGATTAGAGATTAGTGAAGCTAACTTTTGGGTTAGCTGTGCCCACCACTGCGTTTAGCTTTACTGTTTTATTATTCAGAGCCAATCTGTAACATAAATTGTAAATATGTTGGTAGCCACATCACATGTCTCTTACCTTTTTAGTTTCAGAGCTACTGTCTGTTCCTGCTATTATGTGTTTGTTTAAAAACAGGCCTTTAATTTTTTCATTACAATTTCCACCATCAGCTACAGTTGCCTGCTAATAAAATGCAGAACTGTCCTCTTCCCTAAACTCCATCCTTTTTACACTTCACCGACTCTGCTGTTTGTCACATTTTTCCAGTGCTGTTTCTTTTTTTTCTTTTTTTTTTCTTCCTGGATGCAGCCCTGTCTGTGTGATTATGCCCGTGCGTTATTCATGATGTTTGTTATTCACTTCTCGGTAGGCATCCCAGATGGCATCTCTAAAAGTCTTGACTGATGCTCAGTGTCTCTTAATTAAAAAGTTGCTTTATTTGACAATGACAACAGTGACGGTGCACACGTACGTGTGCACACACAAACCCACACCTGCACATTGCGGCACGAAGGAAACCACAGGAGGGCACTGAAAAAAAAAAAAAAAAAAAAAAAGAGAAGAAAATGACAGCAACATCAACGGAGAGATCAGATTCCCCACTGAGGACAACATAAAAAGACAAGTTTTCGTTAGGCACTCTCATCCTGTGCATGCTAAGTGGGAAACAAAGCCAAGGGCGCAAAAAGCCAGTAGAACGGACGCTTCTCTTCTTCAGTTTAGCAAGAAATCCAAAATTGCAAGAGGTTTCTGAAGTGGTAGGGTTTTTAATTTATTTATTTCATATCTGTTAAATCCTCTGTACAGCTGCTTTTGATATTGATCATGGTGCCATGCTCTGCAGTGTTTTTAGCCTAATTAGCTGGCGAGGCCTGGCATGTGGAGCAGAGGAACTGCAGAGATGCTAAAGACTCGTATGYGTGTCTCAAAGTCATGCTTTGCTCAGAGATCTCGGCAGTAAATCCTTCCTTGAGATGGTGTGAAGTTCCCCGGGGAAGGACAGACTCTGGAGTAGTAGCAATGCTGTGAGACTGACAAGCTGACCGTCTTTTCTGACACATCAGTCCAAAAATAGGGCACAAGGGATCGACTGGGGAAATGACTTCCTGTGTTAAAAGCTAGAGGTAATTAGTTCAGAATTGCAATCAATTAAATTCGAGTTTTATGGCTGTTGATGAATTGGCTTTAAGGGAGCCTAAACAAGGTCATCCAAATACTGACCAGAGGGTTTTTTTTTTTTTTTGTGACAAATGTGTCAAAACTGCCACACAAATATTAAAGTTTACTCACAGTAACAGAAAAGTGCCATGCAGTTCTTGTTAAAAAGCCTTTTTTTTTTTTGGTATAAACATAGTTTCAGTCAGTATTCTCAACACGTGTGCTTTCTGCGTTTCATATCAAGTTTTTTTTTTTTCAGCGGAGCTTAAAACAAACGGCTTTATAGAGAACAAAGGGTATAATTACAGATGAAAATGAGACAAAAATACAAATCACACACTGTGTGTAAAGAGAGCGTTTCCATATAATTGTGTTTAGGAGCCTCAGGCTATAAAAAGAATAGAAACATTGAAGTACCTGTCCAAACAAGCGTATCTTGCTTCACAATTTTTTTCCCCCTTCATTTTCACACTAAACAAAAAAAGCACACTCRTGCCACGGTCATGCCTCTGTCTCCAAGTGCCCTAACCTGCTAATTCTAAAACTGATGGGTGTAAAGTTTGAAATCAGAATGGAGTTCAACTAAACTTCATTTTTCGTGCTACACTCCACAGACCATTGAGTTTGACGAGGGCGCCGGCGCCGTGCTCAGAATCCAGCCGCTCAGAGCCCCGCGTGACGAGAACATCTACGAATGCGTGGCTGAGAACAACGAGGGCGAGATTACGGTCAGCGCCAAGCTGTCCATCATCAGAGGTGAGTGTTATACTGTGAAAGAGTGTGCTAAGCTGTAATACCAAAAGGTTTTATGTGGACAGCCATGAGCTCTGTTGAATGTTGAGACATCCTGCTGGAGTCCGTATTTTTATTTATTTTTTTCCTGTGGAAGCAGGGGTGCACCGATTGCGGTTTTCTGGCTGATCAAAGATCTTGAAAAAAAATGGACCTGCTGATTTAGATTTTGGTTGATACTGATTTTTTTTAGAACTGATACTATCAGGTATTAATACATCTTTGATGTTCCAATCTCATTTTATTGGACAACTTTTGAAACAATACAAATTGTTTTAACTGGACATCAGCTCTCTCTCGCAGCAGAACAAAATGGAACAGTGGCTGATTTTCAGATCTTTGTGAAGGTAGATAAAATCATCTTCTCATGCAAGTATTAGTCGATTGCAGCTCTCCCAAAATTAAGGAAACTGGGGCTGATAAATCGTCCAGACGATTTATTCATGCWCTCCTACTTGGAAATCACAATTTATTTCAGATTAGATTTTTTGTATGTTATTTTATTTTAAAAGCRTACAGGGGTGTCTTATAAAGGCCTTTGCTTCAGCTATAAAGATTTACTATGTGCTAAAGAGTCAAGAATGCAAAATATATTTCTTTAGGGTGCTTATTTCCATCTGTAACAGACATATTCTAAGTTCTAGATGCAGAATGTGAAAACTGTTTTAAAATGACACCTTGGTTTGAGAGCGCTAATCAGATGTCATTCATAAAAATGGTCAAACCTGTTATCGACAGTCTGTTATGTCCCTGAMTAAAACAGACTGATTGGTCATCCACAGACTCTGCAGCTGATAGACATGCACAGAGATGCCCACTCAAACTTTCAATAACAACATAGTATGAAATGTTTAAATAAAATCAGCAGTAAGTGATGAAGGTGCTACTTTAGCTTAAGCAAAGACAGTGTGGTGATTGTGAGCTCAGAGGTCACATAGGACAAGATCACAGACAAGCAAACACTGTTACATTCTCACACTTACTTCTCTCTTATTCTACCTTTCTGTCTGCTTTCAATGCGCAAACGCACACACGGCACTGTGTCTTTTCTCTTTTGTTCTCTTCTGCCGCCATCTGCCATGTTTCCAGGGCTGGATGAAGCTGATCTAATGCTGGCTGGCTGGCAGTACACAAGCTAGGCCTTTCTGGCTATCACAACCACAGGCACTGGTGTGGGCAGTATTTGTGTGGTGTTAGACCAGAGAACCTAGCCTAAAGTCTTAGGGTGTGCTCACACCAGCCCTGTTTAGTCCGCTTTAATCGAACTCTTGTTCCTTTGCCTAGAAAGTCTGTAAAAACAATAAAGCATAAATAAATACCAACAAAAAAGCTGGTCTCTTAAGAGTAAATTATTTCACTTTTGCAGATTTACTGTACAAATATTTCTTCATAGTTGAGCAAACAATRTGATCTATTTAAGTATTGACTAAGGGTGTATTCAAACCAGTCCTGTTTAGTCCACTTTAATCGAGCTCTAGTTTGTTTGCCTAGAAAGTCCGGTTCGTTTGGGGAGGTGTGAACGCGTAATTAAACTCTGTTGTGGACCAAAAACACAAACTCTTGTCCGCCTTTAAACCTAGGTCTCAGTTTRGTTGAAGTGAACTCTGGTGCGGTTCGAATGCATGGGTGAACGCCAAGTCAACCGGAGACCACTCCAGAAGCAGGAAGCAGACTACAATGCAGGGTATTCTGAGTAATAACAGTAATAAAGTTATATCTTGTAAATACCTCGCTCGATGTCTGTATAAGGTGGACATCATTGCTGTGAAGTTAAATGCACTCCTTTTCGGTGAACGCCGCCTCATATGGAGCCGTTTCAGCCACTTTGTGTGGAAAATAATAATCTCCGCAGTTCTGCCTCATCTTCTACTTATGCTGACCACATTGTTGAAGACTATTTGTTTGGCACATTTGCCAAAAAACAAAAAAATAAATCCTACAACCACTAAAATCTGACGTCACTCATGGTTTGTTTACATTTTGTGAAGAAGGAATTTGCGCACAGTGTCTTCTTCTGAGTTTTTTTTTTGTGTGTTTATTTCTTCAGTTGTTTTTGGAGCAGCGCCACTGCAGGTGAGGGGTGGAACAAGTTGTTCACAGGGTTTAATTAGTTTGACAAAGAGCAGTGTGAATGCGAACCGCACCATCTAAAAATGGAAACAAATCCTGCAATTTTGGACCTCAATCGAACCGAGTGTACCGGACTATCGGGTGTGAATACCACCTTAACCTTAGTTTGTGTTAGATATAACTGGACAGTTGTGTAATTGGGGTTCCTCAGGTGTGAAACTACAATTGCTGTCAGATTATTTGAAACAGCAGTAAGTTCAGTGTCAGCTGTATGCAAACTGTTAGACTTTAGGTCTTATTTTAAACAGAACAATTAAATGCATGTTAGCTATTCTGAACTTACCGTATTTTTCGGACTATAAGCCGCGACTTTTTTCCTGAGCTTTGAACCATGCGGCTTATAGACCGGTGCGGCTTATACATGGATTTTTTTCTTCAGCCACCAGGGGGCTCTTATGCTCCATTTGCTTCAACCACTCGCTTCAAAAAAAGAAAAGAAAAAAGTGATTTTTGGAACCGGAGGTTCCAGAGCCGACTGTTGTACCAGGAAGCAGCAATTTAAAGATAGTCAATGGCCAAAAACTCACAAAAGGGGATAAAAACAGACATTTTTCACGGTGGAATCTGACTGATAAAAACTTTGGAGCTTAATCCAGGACCAGTTTGTGGATAAACGTCGAGTGAAGAGCCGCGGACTATTTTTTCCTCATTGCACTCCCCGGGGAAGGAATCCCATGCAGTGACGTATGCTGGAGCGGGAGGGCTATCCCACCACAGCTTCAGAGCCAGCATTACCCCGGGAGGACAGCGACACAGAAAGCAACACTGAACAGATACCGCTGTGTGACGCAGCTTTTCTCAGCTTGTTTAACTCCGACACTGAAGAGGACTTCGATGGTTTCAGTGCACCGGAGGAAGATGAATGAGACGTTTTGTTGGACCAGAAACTGTTAAAGAAAACTACCAAAATAAGGTCAGTTAAAGAACCGTATTCCTCCGAACTTTAATTCCTTAAGGTTTGTTTTTTATGTTTTGATGTTGAATTCACTTTTTTGATGGCAAATTTGGGTGTACTGTTTTTTTTTTATGTTGGGGGTGCGGCTTATAGTCTGGTGCGGCTTATATGTTAATGTTCGTGGATTTTTTTTTAAAAATGGCGGGTGCGGCTTATAGTCCGAAAAATACGGTTGTCACATTTTATAGGCATCTATTAATTTTTATCACTTTCATCCGCTAAAGCTAAATAAATGTCCAAATATGGTTCGATTGCCATGCTACATTTATGGAACATTGTAGAATCCCATACCAGAAAGTCCTCTGCAAAGAAATAGTAAAAAAGTAGAAAGACTCAACATCAGGGAACGAACGCATCAAACTCTAATTTACATGTTTAGGCACGTCCATGTCAGCGTGTTCAGAAGAAGGACAGAACAAATCTAGAACTGTCCGCAGGAGCTGAAAGAAAAAAAGAAAAAGTTATTAAAATTGACTCCACAAAGATTCCTCAAGAGCCCAGGGGAAGATGGCAGCTCTCCTGCCCAGGCAAGACCCGGGGCAGGGCACTGGATGAGGGATTTGGGTGTGAGGATGAGGGTGAACTCTGAGTGACTGAAAAGGAGAGCAGGATGTTCTGTTTTCCATCTTTAATGAGGCCCTGGTCCCCTGATATAACCTACCAATACTAAAAAAATGGTAATATAAGGGGTGGACGATGTCTGTCAAGAACAGATGATGGAAAGAAAGTAAAACAAAAGTGTGGATATGGATAGAAAATGCAATTAGAGATGGTGGTGGAAAAAAATRTTTTTTTAAAGAAGAAAAGTGGGCCTAAGATGAAGTAAGACGACAGGAGGTGATGCAGATGATTGGCAATGTGGAACAGGTGAGGAAGACGGTGGCTGAACATGGGTTCTTGGAACATGGCAAAGGATTAGAGGATATAGGACAAGGCACAGGGGACACATTTCCAGTAAACAGAGGGGATGTGGTCTGGGATTTAGAGAGGCAGAAAATGGGTCGCCACGATGGGTGACTTGGCCAAAAAAGCCGTGGCACACATTTGTGGGGAATATGCAGCACATGGAAACCCACATAACTGCATTAACGAATGCAAATAAATACACAATAACATTATTTTGAGCAAGCGTGCATGGGCATATTCATCAGCCTAACACTTGGATGGATAGTAATTCCTGCACGGCGCTGTGGAATACTCACAGAATAAAAATTATATCCTCAAAGTAACGGCAAGCATTGTCGACTTTGCATGCAAGTTTTTTTTTTTTTTTATAAAAAAGTGTGTGTCTGTCTATGTGTCTATCTATCCAGAACAGTGGAATCTAGCTTTTGCTGTCATAGTGAGAACTAATTTAGCATGACAGTATGTGGGATTTGTTTGGAATTTAAAACAATTCACAACACCGCACTTTGTGTTGCACGCAACTCAACGCTTCTCTGCAATTTTAAAGATATGCACATATAAAGCAAAGATACTAAAATACTTTACAGCTCTATTTACACATAAGCACACCTGGTGCACATTTACCCATGAAGAAAATATGCAAATGTCTGAACACTGAACTCAGAAATACATTTATTCATTTAAAAAAAGGCAGTCAAAAGTCTGTCTCAGTAGTCTTTGTTTAACCATGCTGCATCAATGACAACGCCTCGTTTTGTCATCTGTTGTTTCCACATTGTTTGTGTGTATGCACTCGCTGTATGTCGATGGCAATGGCAGGGCGCATTTAGCTTTCACTGTGACACCTCCTTGGCTGTTACTTCAGTGCTGCAGCTGAATACCTAAGATGGGGGCCATCTGGCTCCACTAAGACTTTCACACTGTCCTCTGGGAGTCCTTGGAGAGGGACCGACAAGCGTATGAAGCACATTCT